CCATTTAGTTATATGTTACTAACAGTTAGTTAATCCAATTCTTCCTACTGTATATTACTGTATACTGTCTGTGAAGGTTCTCAGTCATCCAGGTCATCGTAGTCTAAGGAGCTTGGAAAGAAAAGCGTCTGGACTTCTTTGAGTTGCTTGAAGACGTTTCACCTCTCATCCGAGAAGCTTCTTCAGTTCTAAGGGTCAAATGGTGGAGAGTCCTAATCATAATCCTCTACCTAATCATATTTAGGTAGAGGATCAGGGGTCCTTTGTCCCTCTTTGGGGGGGAAAACTCCCACTGGGTTTAAATCTGGGACTCTCCACCATTTGGCCCTTAGAATTGAAGAAGCTTCTCGGATGAGAGGTGAAACATCTTCAAGCAACTCAAAGAAGTCCAGACGCTTTTCTTTCCAAGCTCCTTAGATTACTGTATACTAGTATTCTTATTGTATATATTGTTCCTCTGTCTCTCTTGCTGCGTTGAGCATGTGTATGACAAAGTAATTTCCCTCGGGATAAAGTTCTTCTTATCTTATCTGTGACGTCTCTGAACATTTACAGAGCTCTACCGGCCTCTAGCGGAGAAACGAGGAAACTGCACGCTACTCCATATCAGTCATATCATCTTCATATACACATGTTAAATGACCTGGTTCTTCATAATAAGCGTAAATGTCGCCACAATTTCCTTTCAACATATGATTAGGGGAGAGCGCGAACGCAGTCCCCCACTACCAGAAATTATACAGTCGAGATTCCCACATTTGGGGAATTCGCAGGCTTTCAGCAAAGCCAGAGTGCAATGGCTGAGCCTCGACCTGAGAGAACCACCTTCTTGATCATGGTATCTCTCCTACCAGGTAAGTATGAGTTCTCCAGCTCACGCATAGGGAAGTGTTTCACACACAAACCGTGCACACTCACGGTGCTCACAATCTCACAATCAACACAAACACAGTCTGTAGGAAGCTGGGACTACACACTATTTATATATACACATGAAGCAGTTTCCAACAGAGCCCCATAAGGTTATTTAGCTTTACAAATACCGGGAGAATTTCCCATCATGCATTGCTGCATCTGCGCAACAAGAGCTAGCTGAAAGATAACTTTTTTCATCCATTTAACCTCCTTAAATCCACCAACAGACCACCAGGAAGTTCAGCTAACTCAAAGGTCAAGCACGCTGCTAAACGAGTTTGTCTGATACTCGGGGAAAAGAGGATAAATGCAAAAGTTTTCGAGTTGAAGCACAGTGACTTCCGGTCTTTTCGTTAACTGCTGCTAGGCAACCAACAGTTTCCCGCTACGGTCTCGGAGTATGAACAGCGCTGCTCACGAAAACACGTCTGTGAACATGTCCGAGTGCAACAAACAACCAGAAAACAATCCAAATAAAAACACTCTAAAAATTTACTCATTAACAACGACTGAATTCACTCAGAGCGAATTTTTGCTTTGGCGGGAGTTTATTACCTGCTAAAGACAGCAAAATCACGCGGGTCCGGCGCACATGCACGTGTTAGTACACGTGCTATAGAGTATAAATATACTATAAATTATAGTTTAGTTTAATAAACCAGAATATTTTTATATAAGAGTTGGCAGGTCGTCTTGTAATCGGAAGGTTGCCAGTTCGAGCTCCGGCTCAGACAGTCTCGGTCGTTGTGTCCTTGGGCAAGACACTTCACCCTACTGGTGGTGGTCAGAGTCCGGCAGCCTCGCCTCTGTCAGAGCGCCCCAGGGCGGCTGTGGCTACAATGTAGCTTGCCACCAACAGTGTGTGAATGTGTGGATGACTGGATGTGTAAAGCGCTTTGGGGTCCTTAGGGACTAGTAAAGCGCTACACAAATACACACCATTTGAAAATTACAATCACCCCCCTCATCTAATGACCACAAGAGGAAAATGCAAATGAACCAAAATTACTCATTAATCTGGACACAAGAACTTTTTGTAGTTTTTAAAAAGTTATTATTTTATCAATATACATATTTTTCCTCAATTCCTCAACACATAAACTCCAAACGCATTAAAAAATATATACATAATGGTCATTCTAATGTAACCAAATATCAGCGCCCCCTGTTGAATAATTTATGTCACTGCGCATTTTCCCGTCACGCTCGGAAGAAAAACATGTGAGTTGTGTAAATGAGCTTCTAAACCACTTACCTTAAAATGTAAAAGTCAAAGCAGGTCAGCTTTATAGGCAGGTAATAAACGTGGCAAACAGCACAGATAAGATAAGATACACAAGGGACGGAAGGGGTGGGGCACTTCAAGGTTAAAACGTGCTACATATTCCCAAAGAAAACCTCTGCAAAACTCCGGAGGAAAAGTGCCATTCTTCGAAGCGCCACACGCGGTCACCAGTAAGCCAATCAGAGAGCGCAGTACCATTTGAGTAACAGCAACTCAATTAATGAAAAAAATGGTTTGAATTCGTTGAATAAAAGTTTGCAATTTTATTTGAATCAAAACTATTATTTTAGAATTTTTCCTGTTATAAATATAATTTCATAGTGTGAACATTTTTTTTTTAAAAGAAATGTAAAATGAACATTTCAGCAGATCAATCTGAAATTAAGCTCAGATGTGAATATGTACTTTTTTCTGCATCATTTAGGCTGGAAATTATTTATGTACAAAAATCTATAAAATGGTTAAAGTAAAGTAAGCTCTGTCACCTTTTCTTTTAATGTGGTGTGCTGGACAACCAGCAAGCCCTGGTCACAAGACCTCAGGGACCTGCTGGGAATTTAAGGATGAAGAAGATCACTGATGTAAATTGGAGGTAGTCCGTGCTGAGCCCTGAAGGTCAGAATTATAATCTCAAAATGGACCCTGAATTTAATGGGGAGCCAATGCAGCTGGATCAGCAGGGGAGTGACATGGGTGTACCTGGAAGCCTTGGTCAAAAGCCTTGCAGCAGCATTTTAAACACCCTGCAGACGTTCCAAGTAAGCATTACTTAGACAGATACACAACGAGTTACAATGGTCTAAACAACACGAAACATGAAAAAGCATGTATAATCATTTCAAGTTCAGAACGTGACGCAATAGGACTCAGCTTAGCAATATTTCTTAAGTGGTAGAAACAGGAGCGGACCAGAGATTTAACATGAATATCCAAGGACAGAGCTGAGTCAAATGTAACACCAAGATTCCTAATAGAAGATTTAACAAAAGAAGCGAGGGGGCCTAAATCTTTTACTACCAAAGGTACAAATTTATCAGGAGCAAAGACAAGGACTTCTGTTTTCTCAGCATTAAGTCGAAGATAATTATCAGCCATCCAACCTTTGATATAATCTAAGCATCTCTGCAAGTTTTGAAGTTTAGAAACATCATGTGGCCTAAAGGAGATATATAGCTGAATATCATCTGCATAACAATGATACGAAATGTCCTTAAAAGTGCTGAGAATCTCCTAAAGAGGGAGTAAATACAACAAAAAAATAGTAAGGGTCCCAAGACAGAACCTTGTGGCACACCATAGGCAAGAGAAGCGAGAGAGGACCTGAACTTGGAGGTAGCCACAGAGAAGGATCGTCACACAGATAGGATTTAAACCACTCCAAAGCAGTTCCTGATATACCCACCCAGTGTTTTAGTCTATCTAACAGAATATGATGGTCGACAGTATCAAAGGCAGGTCCAACCACAGTAAAACAGTGCACTCGCCAGCATCATAATTCATCAATATATCACTGGACATCCATTTTTAGTAAAAGTTTGAATCTGTTCTGGTGAGTAAGCTGGAGGTTAATGGAGCAGAGGTGCTCATATCAAAAGCACGACGCACATTCATGGGAATCATGTTTATCTCATGTTGTTGAAACATGAAGGTTGGGTGTCTCACGGTGATTTAATAGACATGTTGGATTACTGGAATTCCCACAGATCCTGTCCCACAGTCAGAGGTCCTCACGCTGCAGTCCTATGAAATAATCTGAAAAATCAGCCTGACATTGTGGTGGTCCTGAGTCTGGTGATTCAGTGTTTTGTGTTTCTTTATTATGTTCTTGTTTATTCTGATTGTTTATTCCATTAAGATTTGCCATTTGGTAGGTTTCTGTTCTGTGCCTCCCCTGGTCCCACTTTTCTGTGTTCCCTCTGTCTGTCCACGATGTTACATCTGCTAATTAGTCTGCGGCTGTTAAGTTCTGTGTCTCGTCTGTTTACTTCCTGTTTTACTTTGTAGGTCTGTGCTCTCCCTGTCTCGTCAGTGTAATCAGCGTCAGCCGTGTCTCCCAGCTGTTTCCGCTTAGCTCTGTAAACCTCTTGTATTTAGTGTCTGCATCGTACCTTCATACCACCCCCGTTTGTTCTGTTTGCTAGTTTTTTTGTATTCCCAGTTCAGTTTGTGCACAGAAATAAAGCTGTTTAAGTTCAACTTTTTGTCTCTGCGTTTGTGAGTCCTGCATTTTGGATCCTCTCTCCCTGCACACAGCCATGACAGACATATGTTAAAGACTTTGTAGTATTATATTAACCAACGGAGCACTTTGCTCTCAGATTGCAGGCCTTACTCATGGTTTCAGGAGGCAGAACCTTCAGCTTTCTGTGGAACCACTTCCCAGTTCGGATCAGGTGACCCTGAAACCTCCCATAGTTATGCTGCAACAGGTCTAAGATGCTGACGGCTTCTATGATGCTCTCCCCTGTACTTTGTCTTTTCTCCTGCTCTGAGCTCCTTTTTGTCTTCTTTCCCCTCAGTTTTCTTTTTTGTCAGGAGTCTTTGTATAATTACAAATTATTTGTTTATGCGTGCTTTCTCTCAGTAAATATTCCCTTTTTCTGCGCAGCTTTTTAACAATCTTGCCTGCAGCTCAGATTGAAGAAGAAGAAGAAGAAGAAAAAAAAAACAACTGGTCTGGCCCCTGAGGTCAGATTGGGCCACCAAACAGCACGAGTTTAAGGATGTAAATAGCACCATGTGTTTGAGCATTGTATAGATCTGCTCAAGCCCCCGACCCACCCACACAACACACACACAGTTTATGGTGAGGTCAGTTTTAACCACTGCAGTCGTGTTTACGAATGAACAAACTTTCACTTCAAATCCAGAAACACAGGAAACGTTAACAACATCAAGTCTCTCTTTACACATTGCACAAATCTGAATCCCAATAATACTCAGCCATGACATTCAAAACACAAACAAGTTCAGAAAACAGTCACTGGTGTGGAGTGAAGAGAACAAGTTTCATCAATGCATGCAAAAAAGTTCCACAGGCACTTTAAAAACACAAAAACCGACGATCACACAGAGTCCAGTGAGAGGATTTTATCCCTGAGATCCCCCAGCAGACACGACGAGTTGATTTCCAGATCAAGACTTTTGAACATCTGAGAGATTTACACGAGTTCTCTCACAGCGATAAAACCTAAAACCTGACTTTGGATTATTTACGTCTATGTTAAACAAAGAAAACCTCGTAACCTAAAAAATATGTACACAAAACCAAGCTTCATGCAGTTGTACCTCTTTTTCTTGTAGCTTGACATGCAAAGGACAGTTTAATCACATCCACACATGAGAAAAACGTTCAGTTCTTAAGCAGGAAATCAGTCTGGGGAGCCAAACCCTGAACAAATACTGGGACTGCATGTTCATGAGTTAGCTACCTTTTAATGATTCCAGTTTCATTTTCATTTTCCTTTAAAGCGCTAACGTTGACTTGAAATGTGATTGACAATCGCATGAAAAACTCGTTCTCCCACTAAGGCAGCTCGCAGGAACAATCAGTCTGACAATATTGACTTTAAAAGCAGTTTTAGTGGCAGGAGGAGGAGCGGCTCTCCTCTGAGCGCCTCGTCTGGTCTCTAAAGGAAGAGAAAGCTCATCACTTCGGTCACGATGAGGGTGGAAAAGATTCCACGCTCAGGTCTCCACAGACGCTCCCTTCTTCTCTCACTCGTGAACGAGACCCTGACTGGAAGGTAAACTTTTGTCTGATAATCATGGAACCATACGGAGCTCCTGAAATGACTGTTTTTGAAACACGACGTGATCAGTTAGGACCAGAACTGACTGTGTCACGACTTGAGACTGACAAGTCAACAGGATAAACGATCATAATTTACAAAAAGAATTTCACGTTTTATTAAATATAGCCTGAACCTTGCAGCTGAGCTCACAAGGCCATCGGGAGAGTGTTTACCGAGGTCACTGAAGGCTGTTTTCACACAGACAACTAGAAGTGTTTTTGTGGCCCAAAGCGCAGGTTTATCAGACTCTGACACTATGTCCATGAAGATGTTCCATGCATTAAGTCTGTTAAACACCCTGAGACACAGCAAAGGCCAAAAAAAGAGAACACACACACACATATATTTTTTTAAGTCTGAATCTGTCATTGAGGTTGTTCAGGCTTATTTTTTGGCTTATTGATGAAGTCCTGGGAGATTTTTCAGCAGATAGAGCGAGAACCGTGAATGTACAACAGAAAGAAAACAACCTTGCATTGCTCTGATTCCCTGCTTTGTTTATGCATAAAAATCCTAACGAACGACCCTGCAGGAAGCTAGATTCTCACAGGGAGCAGATAAGGGCGACCGAGGCAGCAGAGGTGGAACCGGGTCACAGTGTTTTTATAAACAGATGTTTTTATAAAGTTCTGCATTCGGGAAGTGGCTGTGTAAATGAGCAATGCATACATTACATAATACACGAAGGCTGGACCAAAACACGTCAGCGGGAACATAAAAGCATCGTCAGGAGGAAAGATGTTCCCAGTGCGACCTTTCAGGAGCTCCATATTCAGTGATTGTGTGTCAGAAAATGTAAAAATCCAAGTTAAGCTTTCATGATTGTAGTGTTTGAAATTGTCCTTAAAAAAAAAATTCAGAGGAAGTCGAAATCAGTACCATCGGGAGTTTTAGCCAATCATCCTCCAGCGTCCTGCCATTTTTCCACGATCTACCGGACAGACAAAAAACACACTCTCCATCCTCTCTCCTCTGAAGAAAACGATTTAAAGTCTGAGTTTGTTAATCCCACGCTGAATCATCACATCGGTCTCTGTCGGAGAACGCCTCCGTCGCCGCTTCCTGCTGCATCGCTGTTCTCTTGCAGCAGAGGTCTGAGCTCTAAAAACACACAAATAAGCCCGTCTGTTACTGAAATGGACCTGAAAACCTGTCTGTAGAGGTTTGTAAAAACAGAGTTCACAGTGCTGCGTCAACTGTTCACAACTTACAATTTAGTATTTAATAAAAGATCAAGTACTGACTGGGTCATTGAAGAATATCAGATTTCTCTGCCAGATTCCAAAGAGCTCGAGTGGGAACTTATTCTTCTATTTGTAACAACTTTAATATTAAACCTGAGGCTGAAGCCTTGAAACTGCAGCTGTTATTCATATTCTGGAATCGCAGGGAACTGGTTCTGCTGGTTGAACCATCATCTCCTCAGAAACCTGCAGTCTGTCGCTTCTCTGTCCCTCCGGTAAATAAACACCACTGTGATGTCAGATTATACTTTATCATCCACATCCTTACGAGAGCACCGACTCCTTCCAGTGAGATTTCAAAGCCGTTTCTTTTCTCACCTTTCATCTCCGTTTCCGTCTTGCTGCAGTTTTCTTTGGACGAGTTTGGACCCTCGTCGTTATCAGGCATCGCTGAAGCACTGGTGGGTTTCAACCCGTCTACGTTGTCCATCTTCACCAGGCAGAGATTCTGCAGCAGGCCCATGGGGTCGAAGCTTTCTCCGGCGTGCTCGCCTCGTCTCCTCAACATCTCCAACACCTACGGCCAGAAATCGTCAGGGAAGAAACGCACCATGTAGGATACTAAAACATGCTTTATTTAAACCCGGCAGGGCTGCAGGAACACCACAACAAAACACAAGTGCATATATGAAGAAAGCTAAAAATGTGCCTCCAATTCAGTTTGCAGTACTTTTTATGTGTTCATGCATGTCCAATAACCACAAAGTTGATTCTCTGGACCTGCACAACGCTTTCAGTGGGAGAAATGTGTCCTCACTCATCCGCGCCTCAACTGGCCGCACGTTTCCACAACCTTATAAACGCTAACGTTGCGTAACCATAGAAACCAGTGCGATTACATAACAATGAACCACGAGAGCGTCATCATAAATGGTCAGTGGTCATGTGGGCTATTCACAGGGAATGGATCACGGCACTGTGGATGATAAAAGTCACACTCTTATAATACTGTTTATAAGGTCTGCTGAGACTTAGTGATCAAAACGCTTCTCACAATGAAAATGTTCCATCCAGATGAACTGAAACAACTTTCTGAGATATTTTTTCCCAGTATTAGAGTTACCAAACCACATGTAGGACAAAGAGCATGCTTATGTGGGACAGTTTCTGACAATGAAGGGTAAACTGGGAGAGGTTTGGCATTTAACATGTGAAGGAGTCATATGCACTTTGTTTTCTTCTAACAGGCATAAAAGGATGATGTTTGGTTTCATGCTCTCATTCATATGCTCACATAGTCAGAGAGCCACGATGCCTTTTTTTTTAGCCCCGAGTTTCTTGTGCAACATCTATTTAAGCCAATCAGAATGTGGGATTTTATCACAACACATGAAATGGGAGAATGGGACATAAAGAGGGAAATCGGGTCAACGTAACTATTCCAAACACAACAGAAGGATCTGGTTTCTCATGTACGAATGATTTGATTTTATGGTCAAACAACTTCACATAAACACAGACCAAAATGTTTCCAATGCTGACAAAGTTCGGCCGTTTGTCATGTCTGATGCTTTAAAATACACACCTTCATATATTTGTAGGATTTCAGTTCACTGATGTTCTCCTCCAGTAGGAGCAGGTAGAGCGAGAGATCGTCACATTGGCCACCGGGTTTGGGCAGGACGCTCACAGTGGGCAGTGATTGGTAGGTTTCAAGGAAGTGGGCGTGGTCATAGCAGTAGAGGGGACGCAGACTGGCGTAGATCACAACTGGAATCAACGTGGCGAAGACGATCAAGTTTACGAAGCTGAGAAGAGTAATCAGAGAGATGGAGGCCTTAAGTATCCCAAAAGACCAACCTACTGGCATAATGGCAACAAAAAACTCTTTTTATCCAATGAAATGTGTCAAAAATGTGTCTTTTGGAGACTGACTCCTCTTTTGGAGCCAGCCTCTAGTGGGCGTTAGAGGAACTGCAATTTATGCCACTTTTTTTAACCCCCTGCCTGGTACCTGCAGTCTGCCATTCCCAGTTTAATGAATTTCAGTTTTTACTATTCTTGAAAGCAAGAGTTCAGATCTAATCATTGCACCACAGGTAAACTTGTTTGTAAAGCACAAATCAAAGCTTATTCTGATTTTTGATGCATAAACTCTTCAATGCAAAGCTCAGGAAAATACCTCAGCAAGGAGAAGACTCCCACGGCGATGAGCTTACACTGCACCCTGTCGGGGACGCCGGTGTCTGACTCGAGCAAGCCGACACGCAGCTTGCAGCCGAAGTCGTCTGTAGTGGAGGCCAGGCGGAGGTAGTAGCCCAGGCAGACGCAGGCGCAGAGCAGGGTGAGCAGAGTCAGAACGCGGCACAGGAAGTAGTAAATGATCAGCTTCCGCGAGCAGCGCTTGGTCATCAAGAACTTCTCCACCATTGGGTAATTGAAGCAGCCCTCGGTGGGATCGCTGTGGGAAGAAAGGGTAGAAAGAGCAGATTAAAGTGAGGTCGTGCTGGTTCTTTATGGATTTGCTGGTAAACACACAGTCAGACCAGTGGATGCAACAGTTATTCCACTGATTGGAAGCTTTTTGCCATGCTCCCAAACAATGAAGTGCATCCTTCCCACCCTGTTGGCTGTAAAGTGCTGTACCTGTCAGCGGACGGCTGCTCCGCTGTCGCCATCCGTTTGGCCAGAGTGACGGCGCGGTTATAACAGCGGTCCAGCTCCTCCATGATAAAGGCGAGGTCAGACTGCAGGAGCGGCGCAGCGCAAAATCTCCAGAACAACGCCGGGGCGTACATGAGCACGGCCACCAGCAGCAGGATGTAAGGAAAGAACTGGAGAGAGGACACAGGAGAGGAGGCAGCAGAGCTTTAAATAAGACATAAACAATCACATTAGCGGTGACGTTTCCACAAATACGACTGCTGATAAAAGAAAGGTGTGGACAGCTGACACACTGACACCGAGGCTGCTGTTATGCTGGTGTTTGCGTTGATAAACTAATGCCTGATGAAACAGACAGAGATAACAGTTTCACTTTCATAGAGAAATGAGAGAGTGTGTGTTCAGTTCTCTGGTCTTACTGTGGAGTAGTATCTCACATCATAAACCATAAAGTTTACAAGTGCTTTAAGAAATTAAACAGATGTGAATAAACTGAAATGTTTATTCACTAAATGTTTAATCTTCTCTCTGGCTCTGTAGCAGAGACCCTCAGCCAGCCGGCCCGATTACTGCAGTGGGATTTCCAGCAAAGCCCTGAAAGATCTCCACTCTGTCCAAACCTTCACCTTCTAACAGGCTCTTAGCTCTGGGCACATATCACCCCCACCCTCATAAATCTCCACTGACCCCTCAGCACCCCTCTGACCTGCTGCACCCAACCACGCGTCTGCTTTCTATCCCTCGCCTCTGGGCTCAGAGCCTTCACTGTGGGCTGAAGGCTCTGAGCTTCACATCGACCTTTTTATGAAACATTTAAGAGACTTCTCAAAACTCGCCTTTTTGTTTATTGATGCTCTTATATTGAGTGTCAGCTTGTTTCTGTTCTTTAGGTGACAGATATTAATACGGTTCCATTTTGCTATTGAAACTATGACAGACAGATCACAGACAGATCACTTGGACTGGGTGTAAAATGTGGCCTTTTTAAGAAGTGACAGTTTTATGTGGATGCCTCCACGTAGTCTCCAAAAATAAAGTGAATTAAAAAGGGTGGAAACAAAGTTTCCCATGGCGATCACACTCACTTAATATCAACTCTTTATTTTAACAAACAAACAAACATTTTTAAATGAAAAACAAAAAGAAATCAGCAGATTTAGAGAGGGAATGAGCCAAGAGTGAAAGTGTGAAGGCGAACCGATAGTTTGATTTGAATCTAAGCTTCTCTCTGTGATTAGGCTCCAGACTCCAGTGGATTTTACTTAGAAATGAAACCAACTACAGACTGAGTGACATAAGAACCACAAACCCCCCCCAAAAAAGTGGTGAATCATAACAAAAGAAAGATATGGGTATGCCCTTTCTCATTAACGACAAAAACCTGAACCATGAAGAGGACTGGTAGAGCAGACTCACGTTTCAAACCCGACAGAATGAGCTGAAAGGCAGAAAGCAAAGCTCTGAGGGTTAACTGTGCTTTTGTGCACGATCAGCTGTTTGATCGTCAGTTTCTTGTGCAGGTTTATCCGGTGTCATTATAGAAAGATCGTTGTAGGTATGTAAGGAAACATGCACGCCCATTACAGTCCTCAGAATGCACCCTACTAAAAATATCCGAACCACACCCTGAAATCTCAAACCCGAGGCTGCCTGTGAACGTCAGAAAGCTTTCCTTTCACTCTGAATCAAACACAGTGAGATTAAGATGGCTTACACCTTTTCAGTAACTGTAGCACTGTGTGTGTACCTTGTGCAGCCACAGAGGTAGAGTCTGCGTGTGCACGGCCGCCCAGCAGAAGGAGTCCACATAAGCTGCCTGCCTCCATGAGAAGTTAGTCGGAGCAAAGCAGCTGATCTGAGTACCTGAGAGAAACATGGAGACATGAAATAAGCCCCAGCAGCAGTGACACGGCATAACCTTAAGTCCACAGTCTACTTCCTGGAAACAGATCAGGATTCTTGCAAGACCAGATCTGTCTGTGGTTGAGTGGATTTCTTAGAAAGATTTCTCACAGAATGAAGTGACCCAGACAGGACTCGTACAGGTTCGAGTTAAGACTGTAAGGCTTTTTAAACATGACTGTGAATAAAATTGAAGAAAACATCAGTCACACGGCGTTAGAGACGCCAGCTGGTTGGTTCAGGAGATGTTCTGTCAGAAATGCCAGGCGATGAATAAAAGGCCTTCTGTAGGTTCTTTCATCTCTTTTAAACATTCATTTGTTGTTTGTCTGAAACTTGTGTTTTCATGCTGCTGTAAGACAAATTCAAACACACCTGGAGTTTAGCATCTTCCCGATGGACACCTAGACATGTGGACTGGTTCCAAGTTCAGATCTTTAGACCACTTTAGACCCACACAGACAAGATCCGAGGAACTAAGCTACCCGAGAGGCTAAAAAGCCCAACTGACCTCATATTTTATACAGGAAATCTTTTTATAAACCAATGTGTATGTGTTTATCACACCTGTGCCGTTTCCTTTATCTATGAACATAATTTCTGCATCTGCCACCAAAGTACGGACACAATTTAAGAGCAGCATGGAAGAAAAACTGCAGGTAAACCCAAGAAGCGAGGACAGAAAAACGGCCACATGTAAGCAGAAGCAGCGTCAGAGGAAATGGAAGTGTTTTAAGGAGAAGATATTTATGAAAAGGGTAGAACCGTCTGTTAGCCGACACGCACTGAAAAACATCACGGGGCAGTGATTAGAAGCGGAAAACTACAGAAAATGAATAAATGAAAAGCTTTAGGAGAAGAAAACTGACAAAAACGTTTCTATGATTAGAAATATGACAGTGGCGCGTACAGATGTGCAGCTGGAGTCTCTTAAAGGCTATTCAGGCTGGATTCTGTGACTTCTGATGAACTCTTCTTCATGAGATTACCACCTAACATTTAACTATCACACAGTCACCTGCGTCATGGAGCCAACTTTGCTCGTTCCCCCGGCTTCACTCACCGACTGAGACCTCCTGAGCGAAGGCCAGAGAGATGAGGAGGAGGGGAAGGCCCACGGCCACGCAGGTCACGATCTTGTCCACGGCGAGCTCCGTTCGAACGTTGCGGTATCGAGCCTGGTTCGGGTCCTTCAGCAGAAAGTCGCTGAACACGTACTCCGTAGCCACGTGTGCAATGGCCATGTCTATGCTCTGCTCTTACCTGTAGACACAAATCAACAAGCATCTCCGTTAGCACGTCTCACAGAGGTAATGCGGAATCAGCTCACTCTGTGCCATGACTTTGGTTGTTTTACCTTCATACTATGAAAACGTTTGGCTTAAATCTGATGCATTTTCACAAATGTTTTGCAGTATTTTTGGGTACTGATGTCTTTAGAAATAGCAGATATTCAGAAACTTTGACATATCCTGTGATATTAATGATCAAAGTTGGTTACAGAAAAATTTGCTCGAAACAAAATATTTTTGGCTTTACACTGAGACGCTGAGTGTGGGCTTGTTTTCATCTGGCTATCTGTTGTACTTCTGAAGTTACGAGGGTGTGAAACATGCTTCGAAACTACGAATTAAAAACTGTCAAATTTCGACCCACACCCGTGCACCTCGAGGGCCTGTAACTGTGAAAACGGCCTTTATATATTATATTAAATTGAGTTTGCACGGCTCTGACATGTTCCCCGAGTTCCCGTCGCCTTTTTGCCAGGCAAATTTAATGTGAGCGATGCAAAGCAGCACACGAGGTGAACGTGTCCTGTTACAGCAGCTACTTAATTTCCCAGCTCGCTGCCTAATATCGCTTTAACGCAGCCATAATTAAATAATGCACTAACATAATAACCTGTATTAGTCTTTAATTAGACATTCCAGATTCCATAATGAGGTTTTGCTCATTTTGTTCGCCAACAGCAGCTTTATTTAACTCCACTTTCTCCTGTTTGTCAGTGTTCACTCCGTGAGCACTTTATTAGGATCACGGCTCCATGTGCATTCGTGCAAATTAGCCAGTCATGTGGCAGATTCAGATAATTTGTGTAAACTCTATTATTACTCAGAGTCACAGAGATTAAAGTTGGGATAATCTACGGGAAAAGAAAATCATCACAGACAGAAAGGACACGCTCCATCTGCAGTACTGAGAATATCTGCTAAAAATGAAAGGCAAACCACAGCCGATCTACCGTTTTATCTAAAGTGTCTGTATTTAAATCAAACTTTGACTTCTTGTCTCGATTATTTAGAGCTGCTGGTTCACATGAACCGAAATGGGCGCAGGGGGAGGATGAAGGAGCCTCCTCACTGGACATTTCTTTGGTCTTTGGAGGAAAAACCGCTCACACCACTTAGTGAAGGTCAGACCACGTTCCTGCTCCACTTCCTGCAGAAAACTCATAATCAGCGAGCTGTCAACATACTTTAAGACAACTCTTGGTCCACGACAGCTCTGACGATCGATCCCTGAGGGGATCCAGTGCAGGGCGAGAAACTGCTGGACAGGGTTTTATTGAGGCCGACCCTCTGAACTCAAACTTCCATCTTTGGGCACCTTTATTTTTTATTTTATCAACTGTAGAAAAGCATTAAACAGGCTGGAACAGTCAGGCTGTGCCACTCCGAGTGACCTTCGGCATAAATTCAACATGTTTATGGAACGAGGCTCAGCTGTGAGCATCACTTCAGACCCTCAGCAGTGTTTTCATGCTCAGCTCTTAAAGCCGGCACTCAGAGACACCGACAGTCATGTCGATGTTTTCCTCCATGATTCACGGTGACAGCAGACGTTTTCTGGATCTTGTAGTGTGTTTGGTACGGGTTCTGTCTGCAAAGCAAACTGCTCTACAGGGATATTGGTTTCATTTTGCTCTACTGAACAAATATTCCAACAATTTCCTCTTAATAAACTGAAGCTCGCACACAGTTTCACTTGTCAAAGGGTCAAAAATAGCAGGAAAACACACAGACCTCTGTTAAGTAAAGCAACACAGCCTCTTTGTCTTCACCGTGTGTGCCAGTCCTTCTTACATCCACAGTTTCCCTCCTGATCTAAATATTCATCATGAGCATTTCTTGGAAGTCTGGTTAAGCTGAGAACTTTTGCTCTGTAGTCATTAACATAACAGCACAGAGCTCTTTAAAATCACCTTCTGTTAAAGCCTGGAGCCTCACGGTTATTATCCACAGCGTTATGCCATGAACAAAGATTAAGATTAGTCACTATGAGTCATGAGGTACAGGCCACTTCAGCCACCAGCGCCGCTGCTCCTCAGCTGTGCAACCTCAGACTCGTGGAGTAAAGCGAAGCCTGATTTTAATAAAGAAGGATTTCAAAACTCCTCGTGATCATCTTCCCACGACATCATCGGCCTGCTTTGTTTGCTTTACTTGTTTGTTTTCTTCATTTTTAATGCAAAGTCTTCATTATTCTCAAAGATGGGCTGACTACGTAACTCCGGAGCGTCAAACATGTTTTAGTTCAGGAGACCCGACCTGATCTGAAGTGGGAAAGACGACTGCATAACAACACACGTCCCTCCAAAGGTTTTAAAGCTTAAAGAAGCAGAATTAGAAAATACAAGAAGAGTACTTCAATTTGTCATGAATTGTTGTACTTGGGAAGTAAGTTTTATCAGGCTAAATATACCTGATGCTAATGACAGTGTTACAAAACCTCATGTCAATCTCCATGGCACTTTTAAAAAAATACAAATCAGGGTTGGAGTTTGTTTCCTGCCGCGTGTCTTAAGAGCTTGAAAAAAGAAGGTAACACTGTGGTTATGAAGGGGTGGGTGTGGTCAGCAGCAACACTCAGGTATGCTGTAGTGTTTAGGTGATGATCAGTTGGTGCCAAGAAAATATCCCCCACACCATCACACCAGCAGCAGCCTGAACAGCTGACACAAGGCAGGATCCATACTGTTCTTTATGCCAAATTCTGACCCGACCATCTGAAACCCACAGCAGAAACTGACACTCACTCCTTCCAACCTTCTGTTGTTTAACGTCGGTGCCCCGTGTGAACTGTCGTCTTAGCTGAGAACAGGAAACTGAAGCAACAGCGATGCACCAAAAATACCGAGAGGTTGTGGTCTGGCCCTGCAGCCCATCTGCCGCGCGCTCCGACGAGCTGTGGATTCAGAGATGTGCTTCTGTGTTATCTTGGCTGTAGCACGTGTCTGTTGTTTGAGTTACTGTTACCTCCATATCAGCTCAAAGCAATCCAACCATTCTCCTCTGCCATCAGCGACACCACTTTACTCCAAAAACTGCCGCTCACTGGATATTTTCTCATTTTCTGACCACTCTCTGAAACACTCTGACCCACCTGTCTGGTAGCAACAACCATGCCACGTTCAAAGTCACTTAAGTCACTTTTAAGTCCCCATTCTGATGCTGTTTGAAAATCAGCTGGTCCTACATGTCTAAATGCACTGAGCTGCTGCCATGTGATTGGCTGACATTTCTATTAATAAACAAATGGAAAAGTGTACCTTATAAAGCTATAGATAGAATTTAATGTCACAGAGGAAGGACAGAAAACCTTTAAATGTAGAGTTTTTGTATCTAAACAAGGTTGCTGTTGTTTTTTTAAATCTCTTAATGATTTTTGACCTGTTTGTCTCCATCTAACAATAATTCCAACCTTCCAGACACGTTCCCTCCTCTGTAATGCATCACCATAATGAAAAATATGGACTTATTAATAATTGTACTTTCACTTTCACACTTTAAAAACCGCCGGTGGACCGAAAACGACCGGTTCTGGCCGGCGGGTCGCAAGTTTGACACCCCCGACGGCTGGGGTGGCTAACAGCGATGAAGCGGCATAAACAGACGGTAGAGTGACTTTTAACGAAGCTGTGATTTACTCAAAGCTGGCACACATCATAAACCCGCGCTTACCTGCTGCTGCTTCCGTCAGGTGTGTATCAAAGCGTCATGGCCGCGGTGGAGGCTGTGTGCAGCGGGAATCACTTCAGGTGCTTTCCAGCGCAGCTGCTCGGCGGTGTGGCCGCCAGGCATTCAACAGATAGAACAAAACAACTTTCGAAATCAATCCTCTTCCTGTAAGACTCAAAACTCCTTCCGTTCATCTTCGTGATGCCTTCACATTGGCTCAGAATTTTCCGATCTCTTGCTGCCTTCAAGTGCAGCGCGGGATTTTGTAACTTGTAGCTCGGGAGTCAATCGGCGAGCAAACTCTGCTGAAAAATCTTTCTTTCTTTCTTTCTTTCTTTCTTTCTTTCTTTCTTTCTTTCTCTTAGTAGTATTTTATCTGATATATAGTAGTAGAAGTATTTTATCTGATATATAAATAGTCACTGATCTTAAATTTATTGCAGGCTACACACATCAGAGTTAGGTGCTCATCCAGAGGATGCAGCACTAACTTTTATACACTCTCCGAGGGATCGTGAAACTTCTGTTTCCAGAAGTCATGCAAATTACTAAAACTGTGTTTATTGGTTGATTCTTAAGATATTCATTCAACAGTCGCCTCAAGGTGCTTTATAATGAAGGTAAAGACCCTACAATAATACAGAGAACACGCTACAATCAAATGACCCCTTATGAGCAAGCACTGAGCAAGAAGTAGGCTGGGGCAGCCATCTGTGATGTATTTCAGTGCTGGACTTTGTAGACAGTCCCTGCATGCTCAGCAGGCATACAGACCAGTGCTGTTACAAAGGTCCAGGTCAGAGGTCAAGTTGTTTTTAATAAAAAGAGAGCAGAATGAGCTTCAGTTTGCTTCAGTAAGAAGTGTGAAAGACTACATTTTAAATTGCAGGCCTGCTGCTGCTGATTAAGACACGGACACCCAGCAGGACTGATGTACATGACACAAATGTACAAAGTTTGATGAGCCCTCACCGAGTTTATTCATTTTTTCCCACCCCGTCATCAATAATTACACGTAGAATGTATGAGTACATAAATCAGAGCACCTCAGCTACAAAAATTTAGGGCACAAAAATATCTTCAGTAAAAGCTTTAAAGTAGCTGATATCAGATGGAAAATTAAGCTTTTTTCCATAAGTGTGAATGCTCACAACCATCTCTGCGCATAAACCAGAAACAAAGCTTTACAGGAGACATTCACAAACCGCTGGAAACCTGGGAGACGATGCTACTCTCAGAACAGCGACTAACACCTCTCCTCTGACATCAGGACGGCAGCGCAGAGTCTCGGCACAGTGAAGACACTTCAGCACCAAACCTATTCCTGCTGCTGTTACACACAATCATATACACACATCTTTATATGCACGTGATGTTAGGAAACTATACTTACTGCTGCACACAGTTTAGAATCCATTATGACTTTTTATTTGAACACTGATATAACTAAAGGCATTTGCTGGTTTTCATATAATATATTCAGTTTTCTAGGAGGAGTGCACACATTTAATTAAAACAATCATATTTACTTTGTATGTTTTCTCCGAGCTCCAAAGAACTCGTTAACTGCAGAGGATCTGCAGTTAACGAGTTGTAATAAAAATGTTCTGGTTGTAATAAATATGATATAAAGGAACACATGTTTTATTATCTGTTAATTTAATATGTCCATTTGTTCAGGTTTATATACAGTTGCTGTGTAAGCTTCCCCTCCTTTGTGTTTGGTTGACCTCATTTTTAAACCTGTTCACTTAACAACTACTTTTCTTCATAGTTTGGGGAATTTTTCTCATAACTCTTCTATCTGATTAAAATCTAATTAGCTTCCACACTTTGTCCTTGAGCCTCACTGCTTGGGTCCCTCACAGGAGCTAACCACAGAGCAGCCGGTCATTAAAACACAGCATGTCTTTATCCCGTCTTCCTTTTCTCACCCAACCGGTCGCAGCAGATGGCCCCGCCCCTCCCTGAGCCTGGTTCTGCTGGAGGTTTCTTCCTGTTAAAAGGGAGTTTTTCCTTCCCACTGTCGCCAAAGTGCTTGCTCATAGAGGGTCATATGATTGTTGGGTTTTTCTCTGTATGTATTATTGTAGGGTCTACCTTTCAATATAAAGCACTTTAAGGTGACTGCTGTTGTGATTTGGAGCTGTATAAATAAAATTGAATAGAATTTAATTAAAACACACTTTCTCTGCTTGAATCTTTGCAGCTTGTGTTTTGATTTAGTAAATTTGGTGTTTTATTTTAATCCCTTTGATTCTTGAATATAAAGATATTAATAAAAGAGTTCGACTTCCCTCTTGTTTCCCATTTTCTATTTAAAAAGTCTGGCATGATTGCCTTCATCTGTGTCTGTGCTTTGAATGGAGGTATTCAGTGTGTTTGTGATGGGTTCATGTGTAGCTTGAACATAACTTTAAAAATTAGTGTTCAAACAGGGTGACTGGTCCCTAATGTTTGCACTCAGGGAGCCTTCGGATGAAGGCTGTGGCACAGTTTAAATGCTGGCTTGTTGCTATTTTGCTAGTTAAAATTATAATATCGTGTTAAAAATCGTGTAATTGCTCTTTTTGTCTATCTGTTGTAGCGCTGTGGCCACAAACTCTCTCTTCAGCTTTCAGAGCGATTAATTTGCCAACAAAAGAGACACACAGGTGACTGAGTATCACCTATACCGCCACCTGTCGTCCTTTCTTTTTCTTTTCCTCGACAAATTTTCTATATTAGGTATCCAGTAACGTCAGCAAAGTTAATTATTTTGGTCACGATATTCATTTAGAGAAATGATGATATTATAAAAGTCTTAATCAACCCTGGAGTTTCCCTCCTCCCCGGCACGATTTGTTGTTTCTGAGCTGGGATTTCCGGCTCAGATTGGAGCCCGTAAAGGGAGCATCCTCCAGGGCGGCGTGACTGTGGATCTGCGCAGCATGCAGCAGCTCTGTGGCAAAGAGGAAAAACACTGATTCATAGAAACGCAACAACAAGCAGCTCTTCAAGCTGAAGTGTGGAGAAGAGTGATGAGGAGCGGCCGGGATCCTGTGCCTGCGTCAGGCTCCCGGTTCGCGCCTGCGCCTCTTCTGAAGTGTGGCCATCTGAGATGAGCTGTTCTGCTCTGGAAATATTTGGGGCGTCAGAACGAAAACCATTTTGAAGTCATATTGATGTTGGTCTATCGCTATGAATTCTGGGGATTCTCGTTCTGCCCTCCGCGGTCCTCCCAAACTTCTCCAGCTGCGTCAAGTTGCAGTGAAATGGGCACAAATGCGCCGGAAATGGGAGGATGTTACACTAGAAAACATAACCGAGAAGCTGGAGGGAAAAAGAAACCCTCAACTGTCCGCTCTCTTTCAGTGACTATCGATATAACGTTTTTGATAACTAACACTTTATTAATCCCAAAAGGTGGAAAAGTCCTAAAACCACACAGGAAACCGATTTTTTAAAATAGCTTAGTGCAATACAATGTAACGTATCAAGACATTGACCTTACTAAGGTAAACAATAATAAAATAATAATTTAAATACACATATTTAGTAATAATACGATTATAATTTATTGGAATCTGAAATTCAACAATGCAAAATAAACAGAATAAAGCATATTAAGATTTTAAAACATAAGCACATCAATCATGAGGTTGTGTGGGTGCTTTGAGATCATAAAGTGGCCAATATGTTCCCAAGGTGTGCAAATAAGAAGCTGGTTCATCAAAATGGGTATGAGTTATTGTTTTTGTATTTTTTAAATAGATTTTTTTGTTTTGTTTTGTTTTTCTTGATGCATTCTCAATCATCCAGGGAAGTAAATCTCCAAAAAGTTGATTCTGTTCCTTGGGGTGGACCAATTTTTGGCGCAGCGTGTTTTGGGGTTTAAAAGCCACAGAGACCCGGTGTTTAGAAAAAATGTGTCTCAACTGCTCCGATACTCCTGACACGTATGGGATCACTACAGGTTTTCACTTGGGCAGCGGTTGTCCTTCTCTCGTGGATCGGCTGGAGCTTTCTTTAGGAGCCTTTCCAGCTTTGACAAAAGTCCAGCTGGGATAACTACATTTACTCAGGGCCTTCTTGATGTGCTGTTCTTCTGCCTCCCTGGCCGCTGTGTCTGTGGGGATGGTGTTCGCTCTGTGTTGTAGCGTCCTGATGACACCCAGTTTGTGCTCCAGTGGATGATGAGTCAAACCTTAGATACTGATCCGTATGTGTAGGTTTACGGTACACGTCAGTTTTTAGATGTCCCCCATTACTGATGGAAATCTCACAGTCTAAGAAGGCTAACCTGCCACTTTTCATATCCTCCCTGGTGTGTCGGTCCACCGAGTTTATGTGATCCGTGAATTGTGGTACGTCCTGAGATTTGATTTTCACCCAGGTGTCATCCACATATCGGAACCAATGGCTTGGTGGTGTTCCAGGGTAGGATAGTGAAAATCAGTGGTCTTTGATCGGTGGGTTTTGGTCAGTGGTTGTTGATCAAAGGTCATGAGAATTTGCATAATTAAGATTAAGGAACTGACCTCCCAGCCCATTGTTCCTTCAGTGGGCTGGTTTCAGTCATTATGCAAATGTACTGTTTATAAGTTTGGGGAAACCTGCAGTCAGCTGAGACTGAAGTTACCTGGATGAGTGACGAAACGTTTCTCCCACAAAACGCTACGTCCAGATGAACACAATCAACTTTTTTGGAGATTTGTTTTGTTCTGTTTCTCAGCTTAGTATCGCTTTCTGGAGCGACGTCATCACTCTTCCGTTTTATTATTTCTTCAGTCATAACATGAGTCAGATGCCAGATGTGAATGGAACAGATGATGTAAATAGAGACCCACATCTGTCTCAAACACACATGTATCCCCCTTCTCGGGCTTAATTTTGTTTGATAAATTTGACACAGACTAAAACAAAATACATTTCCTGTGTGTTTTCTTTTCTTTTATATTCTTTTGTTGGTGTTACGGTTCACTTCACTTTCACTGCAGTCATTTTTTCTTTTTAAATTCAGCAAGTTAAAAAAATGTTTTTCATTCCTGCTTTTTAGTTTTAGTAAACTGTAGACACTGAGATCATGAACCGCTATAAATGATAAATGAATAATCCTCTTCCTGGAGAAACTTCGGCTCTGCTGCCAGGGGGCAGAAATCTCTATCACCTCATACCACACCTGCTTCTATTTG